GTTTAAGAGTGGGGTTTTAACTCTTTCTTCACAGGGTCCCTTGATTGCAACAGCTTTTACCAATGGGTATCACTGAAGCTGGGGACCAAGAAGGCAGGAGGTAAGAGAACTTTGAACAGGAGTGGGAAATAAGAGAGAGGAGTAAGGTTCTGAGCTGGCCCTGTGCTTGGGTTCTTGGCTGAAGCTGTGGATGCTGCTGTGAGGCTCACCAGCCTGACCCAGTCCTGTGGCCAGCCTGGGGCTCTCTTCTGCACCAGAGGTTGGGTGCCTACCTAACGCTCCCCTGGCTGGGAGTGTTGTGGAGAGGTGACTTTGTGTCTGGGCAATAAGAGGAAGGAAATGGAGCACTGACAGGAAGAGGAAAGGGTTGGCCAGAGTCACAACCCAGTGGTGATCCCGAGAGATAAGCTTGGCTCACCTGTGTGGCTGGGGACGCCTCTGCCATGCAGCTGGTTGTTCTCACTGCTGCTGAGACCAGTCTCTGAAGAGCAAGGTTTTTCATCTCCTGCCTGGGAGAAGGGTAGAAGGAAAATCTGATCAGTTCTGTTTATGGTCCTCAGATGGGCCAGAGAGGGAACTGGTGAGTGGTTGTTGTTTGCTTTGCAAATGTAACTGAAGTGAACTGGCTTAAAATAAAATAAAAAAAAACAACAACCAAGCAACAACCAGCTTTTAAAAAAGGAGGGCAGAAACTTGCAGGGAACAGTGTCCAGGCAGGAGCCTGTGGCAGCCTGGTGGGGCTGCACTGAGGTGGGTGCTGGAGAAATGACTGGACCCTGCTATGTCCCAGCTCTTCCAGCGGTCAGGACTGTGACAGCCCTGGGCAGGCCACATGGTGCATGGGACCCTGTTTCCCAGGGTCCTATTAAAGATGGAAACATCTCTGCCACGCCCCATCCCTGTGCCAGCGAGAGGCAGAGCGTGTGTTGAGGCACGGTTTGGGTACCGAGTGTTTCTGTCAGATCACACTGGAAGAAAACCCCAAGAGAGAAGCTGTGGTGGTTCTAGATCCTGTCCCTTCCCTCCCCTGCTGTCCCACAGATTCCCCAGTGACCTAACCGAGGACAGCAAGCGGCTGGAGGATCTGGTGAGCCTCGGGGGATGAGCCAAGGTTACCTTTCTCTTGAATCAAACTGCACACTGCCGGCTGGCTGCCAGGCTCCTGCCGCCCTGCCCCGATCTCTCCCTTTGACCAGACCACACTGGACTGAACCCGAGGAGATCATCTCGCTTTCTTACTAACCACCGACGGTTTACGCTTCCCCCCTCCCTGCCCCCAGCCCACTGATTCTTCTTTTATTTATTTTATTAGCTGTTAGTTTTATTTTTTTATTTTATTTTTTTATCTTTTTTTTGGGGGCTGCCCCTTCTTTTTGTTGTTTGCTCTTTCCCGAGCTAGTAGACATATTTTATGAATTGGCTTTGTGATTGTGTTAGGTAGGTTTCATTGAGGAGTATTTTTATTTGGCTTTGAAACTGTTTTGAATATTTTCAACTCTGTTGTTGTTGTCGTCAGTGTTTTTAAAGCACGGTATGTAACAAGAATGCAGTTCTGAAGGGAAGAAAGAGACACAGAGAGAGCAAAGGCTGAGAGGAACTGCTGTATTTCTATTTTTTTTAAAGAAACTGTTTTTAATTGTTTCTGTTTTGTAAATGTGAGGCTTTGAAAAGTGTGAAACTCCAAGGATCCGAAAACGTTGGACATCGCTATGGAACAAAACAAATGTATATTTTGCTAAGTGAAAAACACTATCCTTACAGCTGAAAGATTTTTTTTTTTTCCTAGGTTTAGTTTTACGTGGGGTTTTCTTTTTCCTCCTGTATAATATGTAAATATCGTGAGCTGAACCTGGCTGCCGCCTGCAGCCTGGCTCCAAGGAGCAGCTCCAGGTCCTGGACTTGGAGCCGCAGCGTGAGCAATACTCTCCAGCAGAATCCTGACAGGACTCCGTTCTTTTTTTGTACACCTTTTACTGTAAGATTTAAGATTTTAAGACCTCTGATGAGATGGAAGGGGGGCGGGGGGGGCGGGCGGGGGTGAAATGTACCGGCCATCGGCTGTTTTGCTGAGCGGGTTAAAGCTGCTTCCAATTGCTCGATGTACAGACTCCATTCCTGGGCTCCGTAGTGCCGGCTCTGGGCTGGCTTAGGGAAAGGGCTTTGCCGCCGTTGCTTGTCTTGGTTACTTTGAAAGGAATTCACTCTCCAAACATTATCGCTTGCGTCAAGATTTCCTGGGAAGGGGGATCCTCCTCCGGAGGCGAGGGTGTCGGAAGGGGTGTCAGCCAGGGGGAGATTTGGGTGGTCGTTCTCTGAAGGGCAGGGCGCTGGGATGGGGATTCATTAACAGGGGAGAAAAGCATTAGGGTGGTGATTTTGGGGCGGGTTAAGGGCTTCTCAGGGATTATATGAATTATAGAATTGCAGCTTCCCGTTTGCTTTACTCTATGTTCTGAAGACTGTGGGAATTTGTCCGTTGTCTTGTGCGGGGGTGATCCGGTCCCTTCTCCAGAACCTACTGGGGCTTCCCCTGGTGTGGTCCAGGCTCCTGCTAACCAGCACTCTGCTAGGGGAGGCCTCCAGCAGGAATACACGGGGCAGGTTTGGGTCTGGATTTCAGTGAACCAAAGACCTTGTTAAGGGGGGTGATTAAGCCTTTTATTAAGATGCAGCCAAACTCTTTTCCCAGGGAAATAACAGCTTCATCTTAAGTTTTAAAAATCATTCCCTCTTTTCCCCCAAACTGAGCCCCTGTAAGGGAGAGGAGCATGTAAGAAAGGACCGGGAGGGTCATGGCACCCACAGGGCCCTTTTCCATCTCTCCCCTGTTTGCTGGAGCTTGTCCTGACCTGGGCGATGCGTTTGGAGAGTTCTGTTTAGGTAAGAAGGTACTTAACAGATCAGTACTGAAAACACAAAGCAATAATTTTTGTTACTGAGACAAGAGTCTGTATGTCTGTTTTTTTAAATATTTCCTAATTAAAGAAGAGCTGCATTTTATTGGGTTTATTTTTATTCTATATACTTCAAATTTGGGTCTGCGGACAGCGCTTTCCTCCCTCTTGGTATACGCGCTGAACTGCTTCCGTGCCCCCTCCAGACATCCCGGGCCAGCTGTGCTGCTGCTGGGCTGTGAGTCACTCTCTGGCCACTGCTGCCACTGCCTGGAGGCTGGGGCTCCGGTTTCAGGGTGGGCATTTTTTTTAAAAGAAAAATAAAGCTGTGTTTTTAAGCCAGTAAGTTATTACACTCCAGTGTTTGTTCTCTCCACACCTGTAACCCTTTTTCCAGATTTCAGTTTTAAATTCCTAATAAATTATTTGAAAACTGTCCTCCTCTGTCATCATTTGGGGGTGGGAGGGTTTTCCAGTGGGAGAGGTTTCAGGTGAACTTGGACCTGGCAGGAGTCGCATCCTGCCATTACGATAAAAGCCCCAGGCTCGGCTCTTCTGCTCCCACTGGCAGTGGCCCAGTTTATAATGTGAGGCAGGTCTGGGTTTAGTAGAGATTGTGTCTCTCTTCTGCATTACAGAGGTTTTGTATAAGTATTTATAGGTTCAAAAGAAGGAGGAGATAATGTGGTGCTTAGAAGTTTGGCTCATGCCCTGGGTTCAATGACTATGGTGAGCCAAGTACGCTAGATCTGAGAAAGTAAAATGTGGAGATGAGAAGTCTTTAACAGACAATGCTACAAGAGAAAGGAGAATTCTACATGTGAAATAGGGAACCCTGAGCAAGTCTAGGAAAGGCAGTCTTAAAAATAATTTCAGGTTCAAGTCTGTAAGCTGGAACTAGTTGTAAGCTGGCATGTGCTCATGAGTGTACTGAGAACCAGTGGCTTTGTATACAGCACAGGCTGGGGGAAACCAAACATAACATGGGTGGAAAAATCCCCTGCTGGGATTTTTCTCATGAGGCACTCTTGTAATGTGCACATGCTTGCTTTCCCACACATGGTGATCCTCTTGTTGAATTAAAACGTATGAAAATCACCATGAGACACTTTTGATTTATGACTTGAAGAGGCCGGTTTTCTGGAAGTTTTCTGGGAAACGTTAAGTAATACATCAAATACCAACAATTGCAGAAAAAGGAGCTGGAGTTTCATAGATAAGAGAACAGATAAATAATAATTCTAAAAAAAAAGAGTAAAGGTGATCAAAGTATCAGAGAAGAGAGGGAAGGGAAAGTCAGCAGATTGATCTATCAACAAAAGATTAAATTATTTTTTCTGAGCTAACTGTGGTACGGACTGTCCTTTATGTCAGCCTTCAATGTTTGTCCAGTGCTCTGTCAGAACACTGAGAATATTCAATCTGTAACTCAGCATCTGTTTGCTGTAGGTAACCTAAGAGTGGGCAGCCCCAGAGAATCGTAGCACTCAAAGAGGTCAGAAATGTCAGAATGGGTTTGGTTGTTCAGCAGCATGTCTAGCTTTAGCTATGGATGTATCACCATCCAATGGATACTGTGGGCACTCTGGCATATTTTCAGACCCTTTGAGGAGGAAAATGTCCTTGTCACCCCTTCTGGAACCTACTGATGGTTGTGGAGCCCAAAGTTTCCTGTGTAAGCACTGTGGTATATTAGGTTGTTGTGGAAAGGTGGGCTTTGCCTCTTCCTCTGCTCTTAAAAACTGAAGACTTGTTTGGTGCTTTGGAAATAAATGCAGACTCAGAGTACCAAGTCTAGGATCTGTATCTTGAGTGTGTAAAAATGCCAAACTTGTCACCTTGAAAATGCCAGAGCCTCTGGGGTCTAAATAGAGAGTGCAGTGTTTTGGACTTACCCCTGGCTGATTCCAGGAAGCTTTTTCTTACCCATTTCTTGAACTTCATTCAAGGTTCCCAACTCACCTCATCCCTTGGCATAGAGAACCAAAGGGCCTAACTGGGTTCTGCATTGGTGCTGGAGAAGGACAAACTGCTCTCTCTAAGGTAATGAAGTCTGCTGTGTATGTTGACACTTCTAAGCCCAGTTCATTTCCAGTGTAAATCCCTTAAGGCCACGTAAAAACAGACACTACTCCTTGTTAACTCAGATACAGACACTTTCCAGGTCACTTGGCTCCTGTTTCTTGCCTAGTAGTACCTCCTTCTCCTCTGTGGTTTTGAAGTAAAGAACAGCTCGAATTTTTTTTGGTTCAGCTCATGCCAAATGGTTATTTGAGGTGAGTGGACAACTTGAACCTTATTCTCTGAATTAGGCCAGGAGAATCCATGGAGAGATACCTGATTAACAATAAGTGGGATACTATAAAAAGAGGATGCAGGTATTAGTGACAGGTGGTTGGTTATTAGTGTGCCAGCAATTTTCAACTTAACTACCATACTGCTACTATTTTTCAGCAGAGGGGCCTTAAAAACATCCAGGTCTTTCAGGCTGACTTCTAATAGCATCACTACAAGAATTTAATAGCAAAAATTTAGAGAGCAAATATTTGCCTTCCCAGCTTCCATAGAGTTCACTCAATTGGCCTTCAATTGGTCACGCCACAACCTCCCACTCACAGTCTCCGATGGAAGAAGTCTACATTTAGTAACGTAAATACTGGCTGGTTTATCTCATACCCATGTCAAGGTGAGCTTGTCGTATAAAGAGACACCAATTCCCTTTATCACCAGTCTCTCTGTCAAGTCCTGCAAGAATGAAGTTCCTGACCCTGCTTTTCCTGTTGTCGGGTGCGTAGGTGCCCTCACCCCCGGACTTGGTAACAGTCAGCCTGACTCTAACCTCTGTGTCTCTCCTCAGTGGGCGCAGCCAGCGCCGATGTCTCTCCCCGGGCCATGTGGCTGTTCCGCAAGTTGATCAAGTGCACCCTGCCAGACAGCCACCCACTGCTGGACTTCAACGGCTACGGCTGCTACTGCGGCTTGGGAGGCAGCGGGACTCCAGTTGATGAGCTCGACAGGTTTATAACACCCTGCTTTTACAAACCTCTTTCCTTGCTTGTGCTTTCCTGGTTCTGCACCCCAGCTTCGTCTCAGCTGGCCCTGCCTATAAACACTCACAAACCCACCAGCTGCTGTGAACGAAGCTTCCTCTCACAGATGGATTCAAAGGAACAAGGATGTGCAGTATCACACCTCAGTGCCTTATTACTAAGATAAAATATAATCCCAGCAACTCTCTTTTCCTTCCTATGGCAGCACAGCATGCTCATTCCAGCATTTTTTCCAGCAGTGTTGTGCCAGCAGCCTGGGTGCAGCTCTGCACACTCTGCCCAGTGCGCAGCCATCAACACATGCAGGGCTGAGCTGGAAAATGCTGGGAAATGGCTTGGACAGTTTAGAGATCACACAAGTCTGACAGCCAAGACACTGTGCTTTGTGTTGGCTGTGAGCTCTCAGCACCACTGAGGGGGTGTATAGGGTAAACACTGGCTTTTGCTTTCTCTGTGCCCAATAGACAACTGAGATCATCTCCAGTAAGTACACGTGTACCACACACCTCTCGGACCATGAGCTGGCACAACCGTGTCCCTTTGGGGCTGCTCTCTTGTCACTGGGTATCTTTTTGATTTTGTTTTTTTTTTTTGTTCAGTGCCTTGTCAAAGTAACCATAGTATATTTGTGTGTCTTACAGGTCAGCTGTATTTCTGGTAGTTTCTGACCTTTTTCTCCTTGTTTCCCAGGTGCTGCCAGGTACACGATAACTGCTACGAACAGGCAAAGAAATTGGACTCATGCAGATTCCTCCTGGACAACCCCTACACCAAGTCCTACAAGTACAGCTGCTCCAATGGGGAGATTACGTGTAGCAGTACGTCCACTTCCACATGACTCCAAATGTTCTCCATTCTCTCTTTGGAAGGAACAGGGCTCTGTGTTAACACTCACACTTCTGTGGCAGGAAGACGGGGGGCTGGTTGTCAGAAAAGGCACACCTCACACAGGCACTGGAGTGAATATTCTCCATATAGCCCACAATTTAAAGTTTATGAAGATATATGGTATCACAGGGAAGCCTGTCTCCTCTTCAGGGGACTGAGTCTCTGTGGTACTTTTCTGGGATCCCTTTTAATGGCAGTACCCAAGAGATCAGCGTGTTAACTGGGCAGTGTTACACGGCTTTTGCCGGACACCTCTGATGAACGGTGAAACCTTTATAGGGCTCTGGAACCGAGGTAAAGAGCAGAGAGGCCGGCAAACAGTACTTCAGGAGGGGAGGGAGGAAGGGGCCAGAAATGGCCGGGCGGGAGCACACAGCTTTGGATGCAGAGGGTTTAGCGGGGAGAATCCTGTGCACCCCAAAACGATGGCAGCAGTAAAACGGGTACACCGTGACAGCAGAAATGCCAGCCTGAGCCACCGCAGTGCCTGGCGAAGGAGCTGCGAGGTCTGAGCGCTCCTCTCTCTCCTCCAGGCAAGAACGACGAGTGCTCCGCGTTCATCTGCAACTGCGACCGCACCGCTGCCATGTGCTTCGCCAACACGCCCTACAACCCCGAAAACAAGTATCTGGATAAAAAGAAATACTGCCAATAGTCTCCCTCCTGCCCCTCAGGGCGGCCACAGGACTTAAAAACCACCTCAATAAACGCCTTACAGCAACCCGCTGCCTCCCACCGCGCTGCGACGACACACGGTCGGGAGGAATGCAGGGGAGGGGCGGGGCCTCCCCACCTTCCCTCACGCCCCGCCCCCTCTGCCCACGGCTCGCTGGGGCGCGCGTGGCGCCCCCGCCTTCGCTGATTGGCCCTTGGAAGCGGCGGGGGCGGGGCGCGGCGCGCGAGACCGCGAGCAGGTGCGTCCCGCGTGCAGCCCCGCCCCGCCCCTCAGGTATCCGCGGGCTGAGGGTGGGGCTGCGGCTCCGCGGTGCGACTGTCCTGTTTCCCCCACACTCCAGGGGCTCCTCAGGGCGACCCTCCTGCACTCCTTCACACTCCAGGGGCGCCTCAGGGCGCCCTTCCCACTCTCCGTCACCCTTCCGGGGCTCCTCAGGGCGACCCTGCCTCCCTCACCGTCCTGGGGGCTCCTCAGGGCACCACTCCCGCCCTCGCAGGGCTCTTCAGGGCTCCTCACCCTCCCGGGGCTCCTCAGGGCGACCTTCCCACACTCCCTCACGCTCCAGGGGCTCCTCAGGGCAACCCTCCCGCCCTCCCTCCCTCCTACTCCAGGGGCTCCCCAGGGCACCTCTCCCGCCCTCACGGGGCTCGTCAGGGCGTCCTTCCCGCCCCCTCACCCTGGCGCCGGGCTGCCCACGCCATAGCCACAGCACAGCTGTCGCCCGGGGCACGGCTGCGTGAGGGGCTTGAGCTGCTTGGCCGCTCCCTGCTCTGAGGGAGCCCTTCCGCTGCCCGCCGCTGTTCCCGGTCAGGAGCTGCAGGACAGGAGGTAATGTTGGCTTGGAACGCAGGGACCCCCTCTGAGGGATGGTATCTGCCCCCGTTTTCCAGCCCTGCCAAGGTCCTGTGCCAAAGCCGCCCCCCGCCCTTGGTACCAGTTGTGCTGGCAGAGGCTTTAGGGAGGTGCGGGTGAGCTCCTGGGGCAGGGGCTGCTCACTCCTGTTCCTCACCGGAATGAACTGTACCCAAACATGTAGGAGAACCCAAGGCTCTGCAAGAGGGCTCTGAGAAACTAGAAACAGATGGAGAAGGAGGAAGCTGGCTTGATATGTTGCTGGAAGGTACTTGCAATGCCTTCCTATTGAAGGTCACTGGATCTTTGAGGGCATTAGCATGATAATGAGATAGGATAGTAAATTGCATTTTGTTCTTTTTTTTTTTTTTTTAATGAAAGAAAAAAGGGAGTGTGTGGCAGCCAGATACTCCATCTTATGGCACATCAAGTCCTAGTTTTGTACCAGTATTTGTCGCTTATTTTTCCTTGGGTGTTTGTGTACGTGAATTTTCTGGAAACGTTGAGTACTTGGGGTCCTCCAAAGAAATCCTGAGGACCCTGGATGTGCTCCCAAGATGTGGCCGAGATGAATCATTCCTAGGGCTGGAAGTGCAAGATGAGATCTCCTGTGCTCACACACAAGCTCTGATTCTCTGAAATTATTTTTTGTAGAACAGTAAAGCTCCTAAGTAAATGTTACTGAAATCCCTTTGCAGTGATAAATTATAAATCCTGTTGTAGAGAAAAAAAAGTAAAATACCATCACTATCTAGAAGGAATACTGTACTTTTGAGCTGTATCATCACTAGCAGAGAAGATTGCTGGAGTGCAGTTGGAAGCATTTCAGAACCTGTTGGTATAAATTTGGCCTGTAAAAGGAACTCTCTAGATTTGAGGTGAACAGTGTATCTACTCCTGGCATCCAGCATTTGGGGCACACTAGCATTCCATAGATAAATTCAATGGATAAATGAATGCTCCATTTCAATTTATATCCATCCTACTCTGTACAGATTTGATAAGCCTACACTTATGTTTAGTCCCTTAATCATGCTTCTCATTTCCATGCTGCTTTGGTGGTGTGAAAGACCTAACAGTAAATTCAAACATCCTCCATCCGTAGGGAACCTTCCCACAAAATGTAGCGTGTCAGGCCCTAATGAACGGCACAGGTGGGGAGGCTGAAGGGGTTCTGCTAATTAGGGCTTTGAGGAATGTCGTGGAAAGAGCAGGGCCAGTTATTGCTTGAACTGACTCACTGCCAGTGTATGGAGAGTACAAGGTGTGTGTGAAGATCTTCTGCCATGACAGCCTGTTCCAAAACAGAAACACAAGGTATCCCTGTGCTCTGCAAGCTGGGGAGCTCTGAGGCCCCTCACAGCACTGCAGCTGGGACATGAGATGCTGGAGGGACAGCAGCTCTGTGGGCTCACACTGCAGAAGTGAAATCTCAGCCTCTTATCTTCCTTTTCTCTATTGTTGTTTTCTAGGCCAAGATTTTTCAGTCTCTGCAGGGAGAGTTGAATTACTCTTAACTATATGGGCATTGCAGAGATGAAAGGGAAAGTGCTCCAGCTGAGGTGAGACATGCAGAGAGCAAACAACTATGCTTGTGGTAATGATCCTGTGTCAGTTCCTATTCGGGCCTGAGACCAATACAAGACATTTGTACTGTTGGTCTTCCTCTCAAGCTCTGCTTCTCTTCTTCCCTGCCATTGTCTAGTTAGTGGTGCAGAAGGTGGCACTTGGGTATCTCTCCTTAGTGGGAGAGGACAGAATTGCAGGTGTCTGGAACAGTCTTTCACCTTCCTGCTGCAAAGGCTGGGAAAGGGTGACATCCAAGGCAGTTATGGGGGAAGAAGCACACTCTAGAAGGTAGATTTGGGTCATTTTCCAGAAGTCATGAATAAGCAGGTGTGTCAGTAGGAGCAATGTGACTGTAAGATGTGGGAGGCTGCACTTACACCACAGCCACCCCGCCCTCCAGGCCATCTGCAGTCTGTGTTGCCCTCACTGGAGCTTAGTGTGTGAAATACCTCTCTCAGGCTGCTGGGCTCAATTACAGTTTGCTCTGAGAATTTGCCCAGAAACAAAGACAAGATGTGCCAAATAGGAAGTGGCTTTTATTTGCTTTGGGTAACTCCAACCCCACTTCCAGAGGAGCAGCAGAAAAATGCATTATAAGGTACTCTCAGCTCCTTTATCCAAACCTCAGGAGGAACAGCTGTAAGAAAAAGGGAAGAGCATGAGCTGTTGATTCAGCTAATTTCATGGTAAAAAAACCTGTCCTTGTGCTGTTGTCTGATGTGTACATTTGGCACCCACAGGTGCACAGAGCTATGACTGCAAGCCATGATCTAAAATACTGGTGGACTGGTCTAAAAGCTATGAGCCAGAAAAGGTGGGAGAGGGTTGAATTGTGTGGAGGATGAGACTGACTTAAAGCAGACAGCATAGATAGAAAGGATCTGTGAGAACACTGCTCAGGCTCTGTAACACTTCCCATAGTTTTAGCCAATAACACAAAGATTATGGCCCTTTTGTTTTAGCTTTCAGGAACAACATTTCTCCCCCTTTTTAAACCCTCCTCCCTTGCAAATTCTGCATTGTCTGAGAGAATGAAGCTGAACACTAGGTCAGTTATGTTACTGAGTTTGTTGTTTTCCCACAGCATGGCTAATTCACATCCTATAGTGCTCAGCCCTGGAGGTTTCTGTAACTCCCTCCAGGCTGGTGATGACATCAGTAAGCTGAGAAACACAAACTTCTCAGGATAGGCCTTTGCTAGCTGCCTGCAAAGACATAGTTATGTTCTGATAGCTGTTATCTCTCTGCATTGCATCTTCCCACACAAACAGCCCCCAAGGAGTGACAGGGGAAGGTGTCAGTCAGCATTAGAGTGATGCAGATCTGGCTTTCGGTGCAGGATCTTTAGGCGCTCTCAGGCATTTCTCAGCTGAGTGAACTTCTCAGTGGTGTCTTGGGGAACATGTTAAGAGCTGAAGTGCTCTGATCCTGCTCTAAAAGAAGTCAACTTTAGTAGTACTAGATCAGCCTAGCAGGAAAAAAAAAAGAACTCCTTCGTCTCAGCCTCATGTGTTTGCTGTAGATATGCTCATTAACATATAGTAATAAACTATGGACATGAAGTCTACTGTAATGTTTGTTTATTGTAAGTCATTGTCTCAGGGACTTAAAAGTATAATCCCTAGAGGGTCAGGGTAATGTGACTCATCTGCCAGTAATGCTGAAGAGACACCCTGACTCCTCTCCCACAGGCTCAGCTGCAGAACTGGAGAAGAGGCAGGGATAGATGTGGGAGGTTTAGTTACCTCTCACATAGCTAATTCCAAGTCTTCACTTGAAATGTTTTCTTGTTTTAGATGTCTTGGTAATGCTCCCACACCATCTCAAAACACTGGCTCTACTGGCAGTAAACCTGCAGCCTCTGTTTTTGACACACCAATGTCACAGGAGTTTCAAGGTGGGGCAGAAGATGATGCAGATGGTGAGAAACTCAGCCCCAGCTCCTCTGCTAAGGAGGCATCAGTGCCTCTTCTTACATGGAAAAACCTATGCAAATAAATTTCCTGTGTGTGGGGACTCTGCTATACTTTAGCCATGATTTCTGCAAAAGCCTTGGTTAGCAGGACAGCTGTACTATGGACAGGACAGGTAAATATGGAGTGACATCTGTGAGCTTTCTTCACTGCCAAACAGCAGACACCTGACCTGCTGCAAAGTGGGGTCTCCATTAAATGAGGGCAGAATGCAGGTGGGGGTCCTGAACTGATCTCACTTGGTTTCTAAGTGAAGCTGTCTCTCCTCTGACCCATAACAGCCAAATCTAGAAATGCATTAAGCATCTTAATGCCCTCTACCTTCTCCAGAAATCGGGTGCCTATGTATCCCTTATTTTCTGTGCTTTACTTGCTCCTGCCTGGCATGGACGTGAATCAACAACAAAGCAAAAAAGAACTTTGTATCACGTGGTCAGTTGTCCTTGCTTTGCTACTTGACCTTTTAGCAGATGACTCTGTCATCCTTGTTTCCAACTGCTTGTTACAGTTCTTGTCAAAATATTAGTACAGGACATGTTATTTGCAGAGTAGGAGGGGGCATTTGTAAAGCCCCAACAATTAATATCCCTCATAGCCAGAAGGGAAGTGGTAGATTCATGCAGAAGGTCAAGTCAAAAATTTAGTGTTCTAGTTTGTGCAAGGTTCTGTCTTTTCCTCTGTAAAAGGTTTGATATGGCTTACAATACCACCCTCAGGATCAACAAAAAATGGTTAGCCAGTAGTGATGGATCTCCTGTTAGGAGTGTGGAAATTGCATCTATTAATAGCTTGAGATTAGCTCCTGAGGGAGACCTATTGTACAGATTTAATTGTATTTCCTTCTTAATTCATCAGCTGCTAGTAATTACATTGTGCATTTTTGCAATGGAAAAAATGGATCTAAGCTGGCTATTGAGAGTGTACTTAAATAAATCATAGGAGGGAGAGAAAATTACAATGCAAACAATATCAATCTTGTAAACAATTTCAATTCACTACTTAGCTATTCATTAATTAAATAACATACTCAGAAAACGCATTCTGGAAAATGTAGCAGCCCCTCTGAAAGCAGTGCTGGTCAGATTAGCTTAAAGTAACTCCTCTGGCATTTCAACAATACTTAATTTTTAAAGGGTTCAAATAGGAAGCAGTTTAGCTTGTTAACTGACAGTTTAGGGAAATGCTGACTTCCCGTCCTTGCTGGAAGATGTCAGCCTTGTACTCTGTGCTTCCAAATAATCTCTTACAAGAGCAGTGTTTTTGTTCAGCTTCTATTTTAAATCTTTTCTTTAAATGACAACTGCAGTTCCTCTTGCCTCCTTTTTCTAGTGACGTTGGATCCTCCAGCAGATGCCCAGGTTTCCCACATTGCCCTCCTGTGCTGTATCCTCAAGTTACTCAGTCAAAATCCCTGTCCCTCATTCTCCTCTGGGGACAATTATAATTAAGGTATTTTGTCCTCAGTTACGGCAGTCCGATTATCCTGTCTCAGTGAATGAAAAGGCACTGTTTACCACGGCAAGGTAAGGCAGAAAAGTGGTTTTTTTTTCATCATCATCCTGTTTCCCGATGGTTTCAATGGAGAGAACCGGCGAGGCTGACACGTGCGAGGCTTGCTGCCCTCTCCTGGTGTCCTCAGCGGCCGTGCACCGGATCTCACAGCTGCCTCCCAGATGGAGATTTTCCCCTTTCTGAGATGATGATTCCTGCAGGAGTGGAAGGAAGAAGCTGCTTTATGGATGGAATTGATTACTTTAAACGGCAGTGTCTGCTTAGGATTAGCTGGACCAATTCAACCAGGAAGAGCTTTGGAATTATCAGTTGCAAAGGCAACAGTGTGATCAGGTTCTCTGGAACTACAGATGATCCCCTGTAGTTTTCTCATACTGACAAATGGAATTCAACACTGCTGAGTCTTCTGGCTACTCCTGCCCAGTTTTCTGGGAGCATTAGCACTTAGTATGCCTTTTGTTTATGATCATGGGAAACAGCATCATGGCCCATCAGAGCGTAACTGTTACAGATGAAAATTTCCAGCCACGTTTTGATGCACGCTGTGGGAACATCTTTTTAGTCAGCACATCTCAGCCTCAGCATTTGCCAGGAACCCATCTTCTTACCCTGTGACTGACCAGGGAAGGTACTCACCTTGGCAGAAATAACTTTACTCCTGATAGCTACTGGAGCTCAGCGGGTTGGGTCCTGTGCAACAATCAAAGGCAGCAGCTCCCCACAGCGGGAATTCAGTTTTAAGGATGCAAAGTGATCTAACCTTGTGGGCCCGATGTTAAGGACTGCAATTGGCAGCTTCTTCTCCCGGGCAGCGAGAGCAAACCTGTAACCAGAGTATACCTGCAGGAATAACAGAAGACAAAATTACTGGCAGCTTAGGCAAGGGAAGAGCTATGGAAAGGAGTAAGGAAAGGAAAAGAGTTGCTGTTGGCAGCGGGGAAAAGGGGCTGTACACACAGGGTTCAGGTAGGAAATGCCTTTGTTGTGGAGCACACAGAAAAGAACAGCTTTTAACCTCTGTCAGTGAAGGATTTGCAATTTCATAGAAACTGGAACTTCATAGCCCACGGAAGGAAAACATCCTTGTCTTTTAGTAAATCTCTGCAGCAGCTTTTATTAGTTATCATAGGTTCTTAAATGCTGCACTTTGATGGTTCTCACATGGCCCAGCTTAGGTGGTACAAGAACAAACCTAAGGCATTTCAATCATTCCTGTACAAAGGATTATAAGCTTAAGAAGTGCAAGCTCAAGGAATTTGTCTCCGGTATCCTGAAGCCAAGAGAATCACAATCAAGCAGCCTTGGTTTTATCTCATTCTGGGAGGTGTTAGAGTAGGGGATTTTAATGTAATAGAACTTGTTCCTGAAAAAATTTCTCTTATACAAACACTATTACAAAATGGTTTAATTGTTTAATTACCTGTTGTTTAATTACCTTACCTTATCTATAAGAGGCTAATGGAGAAAACACACTGTGATACAAAGGACAATCCTAAGCAGTAAGAAAGGTATTTCAGCTCTCTTTTTGAGAATTTAATAAGGGATTAGACGTCCTAAAATCTGAAATTTCACACAGTGTGCCACGGGGCCTAAAAAGCTGCCAAAGGCTAAAAATTTCAAGCAAAAAAAAAAAAAGTGAGGACTGAATTGTGCCAGGTTATCTTGGGTTTGTGGGCAATTGTGAACCTACAGCGTCCTGATGGAGGAGGCAGCAGAGAGAGGTCTGAATGGAGTTATTTACAGCAGCACAAAGTGACAGGGAAGCCCAAACAAGTAACCTGTGGAGCCAGATTCCAACCACAGTAAAAATAAAATAAAAAGCTCTGCAAAGGCCGATCTGTTCCACAAGCCATTTGTAGTCCTACATTGTGGAAGCCAGGATTGCTGCAGGCAGAGTAGCAGGGAAGCAGGAATGCAGTGTGGGAGGCAGACCTACTTACCTGCATGGAGGATCCTGCCACCAGCATGGAGTCTGATTCCGCCAGGCGCTGGTGCACAAAACTCACTTTTTCCTGGCTCACCGTGTCTCCAAAGAATGTCACGTCAGGCTTCAGGATTCCACCGCATTTACGGCAGGCTGGGACTTGGAAGCTGCGCACCTGCTCATCCGTCAGGAACACATCCCCATCTGGAGCCACGCCAAACGCCTCAGCTTTCCAGGTAGGATTCAGAGCCTCAAAGTGCTCCTGGAGCTCAGAGCGCAAGATTCGGTCTCCACAGGCCAAGCAGAAAACCCTGAAATTCAGAGCAAAGTCTTAATGGAGAGTTTCATGTCAGCTGAAGATCTGGAGCCTGTAAGTTGTTCCTTAGGAGGCCTGTCATAATTGTCCATATTTATTTACCAAATAGTACAAGTCAAGGAGCTGTCTTTCTACCTCCAACTGTTGCTTTGTAGGAATGCTCTAGAGGAAGTGCTTTGAACCCTGTGCATCCTCTCTCCCAGTTCAGGCTGTGCTTTTTCATCTGGAAACCTGGGTAATCCCAGCCAGGCTGTGATGGCCCTTCTCCAGTCCACTCATGCTGTGCAATTCTGGCACTATCCACTCTGCTAGCCCTGGTGGATAATCCTTGTATCCTCAGGATCCCCTTGTCCTCTAAGAGGACATTTGCTGTACCAAGGAAAGGGGAAACTGATGCAGGCTTCAAGGGAAATGATCCAAATAATGCTCTGAAAAAACAGAGTGGTGGTCATGTTTCTTAAATACTGTGCTGTGAACAGCACTGGTTTGTGATCTTTTTCTCCACCCCAGCCCAGCACCACCTTTAAGCACATCATCTCCAGGAGCACAGCATGGATGTTTTGCCTCGTTTCTCAGCAGGTGACACCGCAGCAGCCTGTCAGTCACCCCAAAGGAGGGGCTGGAGCACTGCCCCCCTCCCCGTGCCAGCAGCGGTACCTGTGAGTGCAGCCGTGCAGTTCCGTCATGCGCTGGCTCCCGGCCTTGGTGTGAAGGGCATCCACGTTCTGGGTCACCAGCCAGTGCAGCTTCCCCAGCTTCTCCCAGTCCCTCAGTACCAGGTGTGCTGTGTTTGGCTGGTGGGAGGAGAACTGGGGCCAGCCCACAAAGTTCCTTGCCCAGTAGCGCTGCCGGGCACTGGCACTGCGAACGAACTCGGCGTGCTGGACGGGCCGTCTGTCTGTCCTGGCGTAGAGCCCGACACCTTCGGAGCGGTAATCTGGGATCCCTGACTCGGTCGAGATTCCAGCTCCAGTCATTACAAACAGCCTCTTGGAGTTAGAAACAAAGTGCTGCAGCTCCTCTACTTCCGCGGGGTCTGGGGGAAGACAGGCTGGCACAAAAGTCAAGTTTGGAGAGGCTCTGGATACAGAATGGGATCTGAAATGATGGAATCTGATGGCTCTGAAAACTCCAGACAGCTTCCTGGCAGAGAACATGTTCAGCTAAAAGGCAAGAACAGAACACAAGGAAGGTAAAAGAAAGCAAAGAGCATGACCTTAATGCCATTTTCTTGAGATTCTCTGGAAAATGACGCTCATAAGTATTCTTTGCTCTTTTTTCTGTTTAGCAAGGAAACAAACTATTTGCGAAACATTAACTAAAGCCCACCATCCAAGGACAGCACTCGGATATCCCTTTGACAGATGGCAACACTGAGCACTGCTCAAGGTACAAGGACAAAGTTAACAGCCTTGACTTGTAGGGTTCCTGCTCTTCTATCCTGGTGTGAAGGACGGCTGCCTAAGAGGAGCTGTAAAGAGCCCAGAAAGACCTGAGCATGCAAAGTCTTTCCCAGGTATGTGCAGGAAAGGCAGGAAGGCCAGGCACCCCACCCCAGAGGCACTGGCTGTTTCCTCCCCAGAAGAGACCCTTGCTCTGCTTTTTTAACACTTCGCCTGCTCCAAATCAGTCCTTTCTATTTACCCCATCCTTAACATGTGTTGTGGGAAGGGAAAGAAAAACAACCTTGAAATGTTGGGTTTTTCTCAGGACAAAGGCCTTGACTGGAGTTACTCCTTTGAGGTGTGTTTTGGTTTGTTTCTCGATTTTTTTGTTTTGTTTTGTTTGTTTGTTTTGTTTTATTTTGTTTTGTTTTTCACAAAAGGCCTGGTGCAGAAGAGGCCTTGAAATGGGACAGAAGATTATTAGGACACTCTCTAAATGCCTCTGACATTTCCTGTTCTGTGGGTGCCACCTCTCCAGAGTCAGTGGAGAGATGAAGGGGTGCTGCTTTGCTTCTCCAGCACAAACAGGGGCTGAGAAAGAAGGGATCACCCAAATGGGTGTGGGGCAGAAACAACTGCCTGGCAGGTAAGAATAGGACTGACACTCTGCTTAAAGGGAAGAACAGAATTCCCTGCTAGGGACAGGCAGGATGGCTTTGCTGTTAAGTAGCCTGGAATTGTGTGCAGGACCTGTTGAGACAGCAGTGGATTGGTTTGGATTTTGATTTTGTTTGGGCTTTCTAGCAGTCTGCAGTTCTTTCTCCACTTCATTATTTTGAAACTATTTTTTCTGGGCCTCTCTACGGTTTTGGATACAAAGTACAAAAAGGTTTGAAAGTGGCAGTACTGAGAATTGATAGTTTGGTATTTTTGCCTCCCACCATCTCCCTTGGCAAGGGGGCTCGTACAAGATGTGGGAGGTGGAGGAAGGACTTTAATTACTAATAAAAGGGCATGATCTCTAAAAGCTGATTGCAACAGCCCAGATTACCTGGTATATCTAAGTGGCCTTGCCTCAAGCCTCCAACTCCCCTCAAGTACCAGCTCTTACAGTAAATGAAGCAATATTTAAATACATTTAAAGCTTGGATGTTCAGCTGTAAGTATCATGATATTTAATAGATGCTAGTGGCAAAGAATAGATTTGTCTCAGTTAATCTCCAGTTCTCAAGGCTTTGCATAATCATCAGTTGAATTACAGGGAAGATTAGACTGCCTCCCTAGTCTGTATTGCTTTTTAAATCTAAGCAGTGGATTCTGTTTGCAATGATTTTTGCCTTGTTTTGCTGTTTATCAGGAGTTGTGTTGGGCATTCCCTCCGAAGAGGTTTAATTTCCCATATGAATTAATTAGAAGGGACAAAGTCTCCCAATAAACTAATTTGCTCCGAGAATAACTTCTGTCATGATGCTCCCCGAAGGCTGTTAAGCCAGTTTGATGGTAATTAAATTGCTTTAACTGATGAAAACTCTTCATTCCTGCCTGTTATCATCAAAATATCTCTCAGAAGGAAATGTTCAGAGAGGAAATGAAATAGAAATGTAATAGGGGTTGGCCCACAGGAGAGAGAAGGCAAAAAAAGCAGATACATTTGAGAGCTGCTATGAACCAGAGAAGGACTGTGGAGGAGAGAAAGTTACAAAGGACAGAATATTTCCTGTCAAATGCAAAGCTGCTTTAAAAATCAACGTTCTCAGATTAAAAAAATAACTACTGTGCATAATAAGTGAAACTCTTTAAACGTACCTATGGAAAGCTGAGGCTTGAGGGTTTTTTTAAAGCACAGCCAAGATGCTCCACAGAAAAAGATCAGGCAAGGTTAAGGTAGAAAATAAACAGGATTCTACAAACGGTTACAGGCCAGAAATCCAGAGGGACTCCCATGTCATCCCGGTCTCTTGTGTTGTGATAACGGGGAGGTGCGGGGTAACAGCCGAACTAAACCCGGCTAATGAAATAAGAGGGATACAGTGAATAATGCCTGGAAACTCACCTTTCATTGCTGCCGTGCCCGACCGCGGAAGGAAAGGGCTGACTGCCGGAAGAGGAGCTTTCTGGGAAATGTAGTTCACGGGGAAATTAAGCCCTAAGCACAAAGACTACAATTCCCATGCTTCAAAGACAGGCTGAGGGGGGGAGAAAAAGGGTATCCCTAACATCCTGACACCTGAGTCAATCTGAAAACGCTGGGAACTCCATGGCAGCCCTCATGGAAACGTGCAAGATTAAAATCCGACTTGATTTGATACAAATGCATGTCACAGCTTTGATAAAACGCGTTGTAAATGCTTGTCCTTATAAAAGATGTATTTTCTTTTCAGTGAACAGATTTTAGGCTGATAATGTGATTCAACAAGTAACAGAAGAAAAATAAACTGAGGACTGTTAAAGACATCTCCTCTAGCTCAGGAGTCAGGGCTGTGCCAACCTGCCTGCTGCTGGCTCTGAGAGGTCTGGCAGAAACCCCCAGTGCCTTTCTGCTTAGTTTCAGTCTCGATAATCACCTGATAAGCTGTACCAATTGCTGGCAATAAGGAGGTTTTTGTGTTTGGGTTTTTTTTTGTTTCAAAGGGGCCTTATTTTTCTGAGGAACAAATACATAGGAGGAAGGCCAATCTGCTGCATGGTAGCAGCTTGACAATAGATGTTCCCTTGTCTTACAGGCAATGGGCTCTTTCTAATAATTTGGACTGCTTTTTGAATGCATTTGCCAAAGAGCTCTTGCTAATCAGTTCAAAACACTGCACGATTTCCTAATCCATTTTTCTTGTCCCTTGCAGTTATTTTCAAGCCCAGGTGAGCCGAGCCTGTGCCCAGCAGCGGGGGTGTAATTTTGTGATCGCAGGGAAGAAGCACATCCTGCTCACTTGCTGTGTGGTCCCACCCTGCCCGTCCCTCCGCCCAGGTGTGGGGCGCGAGCCTCTTTTTGGCAGATCCGTGAGTCTAAAACACTTTTAGTGCCTTTTATCTTAATAGTTTAAACGTGTTTTTAAACCCTTGGGTGGGTGCTTTGCTTTGGTGCAAAGGGCAGGTGGCACCCGCAGACCCCTTTTCACCGAGGAGACCCCCCCCGCTCTCACCCGGGATGGGACACAGCGATTTTTGGGCGATGCCCCCGGCTCAGAGCAGCCCTTTCCCTGGCGCTCATTACCATAGCGCCCTCCCGGCACCCTCCGCGTGTCCCGGCAGCCCCGCCGCCCCCCGGGGCACCCCCCCAGCGCCCCCCGGTCCATCCCCGCCGCCCCGGCGGAGCGCGGGCTGCGGGCGGGGGGCGCGGGCCGGCGGGGCGCGGGGGGCACCGGGGGCCGCTCTGACCTCCCCGGAGGAGCGATGGCCGTGGGGCCGGGAGGGTGGAAAGGGTAGGTAGCTTTGCGCAGTGGCAGTATCGTAGCCCGTGAGGTTAATCCGAGGCGCGATTATTGCTAGTTGAAAACTTTTCCCAATACCCCGCCATGACGACTTGAAATATAGTCGGCATCGGCAATTTTTGAGAGCCTCCTTGGAGGCTGATTTTTGTGGTTAAAAGAAAGATACATTTAAAAAAAATAGGCGAACGGTCTATCTTGCCAGGTTTTCATTAAAGTGATGCGGTGTTCGAAAGAGCAACCTGTCTTGACGACCTCGATCCCCTCCACTTTCGTCTTCAGTGACCCATTCCTTCTCCAGCAGCATTGAAAGAAAAAGGCAAAAACCGAACTCTTTAATTAAAAGTGTCCTCAGTTTATTAAAGGACGTTTTTGGCGGGAGCAGGTGGTGGGGAAGGGGCGGGGAAGGGGCTGGGATGGGGCTCCCCGCCGGCTGTGGCCCGAAGGGGCGGGGAAGGGGCTGGGATGGGGCTCCCCGCCGGCTGTGGCCCCTCAGGCTGGCTGGGGATGCCCGGCCCCGGGGGTGCCCAGCCGGGGGAACCGCGGGGGCGGCGCGGACCCTTCATTCAGCACCGCGCTGCCGCTCTGACGTCGCTCCTACTTTGCATACTCCTCTCCCACCAGCCTTCGCGGCCGTCCCGGGGCTCGGCACCGACGGGAAAAAACGGGGCGCTCCGGTCCCGGCGGGGCGTGGCGGGCGCGGGGCGGGCGGGGGGCACTGCCCGGGGGGATGCGGGGCGGAGCTGGCGGGGTGCGGGGATCGCCCCGAGCTCGGCGGTGGCCCCGGGGCCAGGGGCGGCGGCGGCGGGAAAGGCAGGTCAGCTTTGCGCAGTGGCAGTATCGTAGCCAATGAGGTTAATCCGAGGCGCGATTATTGCTAATTGAAAACTTTTCCCAATACCCCGCCATGACGACTTGAAATATAGTCGGCATTGGCAATTTTTGACAGTCTCTACGGAGACTGAATTATGGTGTGAAAAATAGATAAAAATAATAATAATGAAAAAGTCTCGCTATGCGTTATGGGTTGATTTATGCTACTTGCATTTAAGGAGGCTGCAGACGGTCATTACAAGCGATAAATTTGTCTTTGTTCACTCTCGGCGATGCCAGCGGTTGCTCGTGCCAGGGACTGAGGTACTGAAGAAGCACTTCTCGTGTAGCTCTTGTTGAAGATCCTTTGGGGAGCTCGGCCTCTCAGAAGACATCTTAGGCAGGGAGGAGAGGGAGCATTTCTGGAGCAACTGGAGGGGCGTGAAAGTCTGAATTGTGCTTGACTGGCTCCAGAAGCACTTCAAAACCTATTAGGGAACAGCTCTCACTGTAAAGTACTGTAACCTCCATTTTGTGTGCGTTTCTTTATGTATATCCATTGGCATCACTTGCTTTAAAGAAAAAGAAAAAAAGAAAAAGGCTCCTTATTGTCAAAGAAATCACAAACCTTTACTCTGGAAAAAGCAGCTGCTGAGTTTAGTGTAAAATCCTATTATATAAGTAAACCGAATCCATTTCTAATTTGCAGCTGTTGTCTTCTTTAATACCGAAGCAGACCCTGCGGAGGGAGATTTAACAACCATTGCACACCAGCTCCCTGGGCTGAGTCTCCACTGGAGCTGGAAGCAGCTGCTGTCCATCACTCTGTATGAATCAGATGTAGCTTGTGCTGCTGACAGGTTGCCTCTGACGTTCTCTGCACGGTCGCGTGTGCCATCTAGATGCTCCTGCCCTGCCGGTAAGACCCTGAGCTGGGCAGCTGCTTTAAACTATAGCCAGGCAGAGTAGAAAACTTAGTAGTGAACATTAGTGTTCCCTCTTCAATAGTTTTTTTGGTAACATTCAGTTATGCCGGGGTATTATACAGAAGAGTGACCAAAGACTGATGATGAAACCTCACAAATTGCATTTGCCCCCTCCTCCCCTGTTTGTACTCCACTGCCAGCAACATCAATTTGAAATCAAAACCTGAAGCATAGGGATGCCATTACCCTTTGGCAGAATAAGCCACGCTGGCAAATATCAAAGGCATATGTAGTTTGCAGTGAGTCATACACTTTGTGTAATTTCTTGATTCATATAAACTGTGTTGATAAGTATTGGTTTTATCACTTTACTGTTTTTCTTCTCTTCTGCTGGAATTGTCTGTGATAATGCTCTGGTGTGGTGATTTCACTCCGCATTGCAAAGTTGTGTCCTACATCTTAAACATTTGTTTTGCTGCAATAGATCCTTTCAACAACTGTGAAGTTGGACCTTGAATGGGAAAGTTGCATGTTGTGATTTACTGCCATTGCCTGAAACCCAACGGTCTGACTGAATTTTTCTTTCTTGCATTCACCTGAAGAAAGAGCTGCACAGCACGTGTGGCACAGCACAGAGGACACACTGCATTGTCATCACTCTGCAGTTTCAAGTCCCTCTCTGGAATGTGCACAGGTAAGTGTGCCTTACAAGTGAGTGGAGCTTCATATCGCTTCTCTGACATACACTGTCTTCTGTGAATAATGGTGCTTTTCATCAGTGGTACTGTGGTACTGTGAAATGAGCTTGGATCGCTCCTTGGATCGCTTGGTTTGGCAGCCAGTCTGAGATTACAGCCCTGAAGGGGACAGGTGGACAGTTCATCCATCCAACCTGAATGTCAAGTGTGTGAGGGTTAAACCACCCTTCTAGGGAGCTGGTCTGTAACTGGTAAACGATGCTTTGACAAGAGGGAAAGATGCCTTGAGCAAGTACTCTGAACGTAGGTTGTGTGGAGCCAGGAGTACCCTGAACACGGGTTGTGTGGATACAGGAAGCCCTGAAGTCTAACATTTTGTTGATGTTGACTCACTTTCTGACTTCATTTCCAGCTCCCAGCCCTGTTTCCCATCTGTAAATGGGGGTCATAACACCTTCTGTGAAAGATAAGGGTAAATCACAATGTGTCTTAGCCACAGGGGACAGTGTAAGAGGAAACCTCATGTACTTCTCTGATGCACTGCCTGCCTTCATTCCCTAGTACTTCCCATCCAACACCAGTTCGGAGGGATGTAGCTGCTCTCAGCATCACTTACCCCTCTGGGCACACCTTGGGTATGCTGCTCCAGTGGGAAAGAGTTTGCTGGAGGTGGAAATCACCTGGGAACTGCAGCTGCTTCTGCCCGGCTGTGTAAGGATGGTGCTTGAGCAGGTATTCACAGAGCCAGAGAGAGTTTGAGGCAGAGAGCAGGTAAGTGATGAAAGAACAGTAGTTCCAGGGTGTTAGGAAAGTTAGGAGAGGGTGAACGTTGCTTCAGTGAGTTTAGCTTGAGTCTGCAACTGAGCAGTTGTCTTGGCACCTTGGGTTTTAACCTGGCGTCCTCCTCAGGCAATCACAGGAGGGTTAGGGACTGGTAATTTTAGAAAGAAATGTTAGTGTGTGAAGAATTCAGTTATGAACAGCACATGGCTGTGGGCACTGCATGAGAACAAGGCTGGTTTTAAAAGCAATATTACTAGAGGATAGTATCACTCATGTGGCAGCCCTGCCTTCCCACCTCCCCCAACCCTTTCAAAGCAGTGCTGAAGCCACAGGCAAAGCTTTAAATGCAATGACTTTTTTATTTTTTTGTTTTTAACACTGAGCAGCTTGGACACAACCCATTTCTTGCAGGTACAACCATAACTAGTGCTATGACAGCTTAATTTCAGCCCTGAGACACAACAGAAATTGCATTCTTGATTTGCACTCACTTCTAGACTCCCAAAGGACACGGTAGGAAGGTGAAGATAAAAATTGCATACTAGGCTACAGTATGAACAGTGGGCACTTTATTTATGCAGAGGTAAAAATACAATCCAAGCCAGTCGTGTTGCTGGAGGAAACACACAGATCCCAGGAAAGGACATGTTTCTGATGACCTTAGGTCTGCTTTGCCATCAGTCAGTGGTAGTGGTTTATGTTGCTGCTCCTGGGGTGACACATCCTGAAGTCATCATTGCACAGTCAGTGATGGGTTTTGAAAAAATGTAACAGTCCCTTCAAATAATGCTTTAAATTTTGCTACTGGAGACCAGCAACGGGAGTGTCAGGTGAGATCCTTGGCATCAGTGGTGAAGCACACGATGAAAGCCTTTGCTTATATTTGTGTTGTATTTAGATCTAGGTAAGGACGTAATTTTCTGACAAGTACTGGATTTGGAGTAAAACCTGGCATGAATTTCTTGGAGGCTGTTGACTAATTGTAAGCATTGGCTGGGATGAGGGAGGGGATATTTCCCTGCCCCCCTAGTGATAGTTCTCATTATAGCATGACTTAACACAGGAAATAATGATGTCTGACTTGTGCTAGCAGGGGAAACTGGGTGTGTTTGTGCCTAGAGAGTGAAAAATACAGCACTGGAGATTGCTCGCAGCTGACCTCACAGTCTCTGTTTTTATGGAAACAAAATCCCGTAATCTCGGCTCAACAACAGGACATGTGCTGTTCAGCTCTGGGAACATTCTCTGACTTGGTAGGAATTTTGTAAGGAAAAGTGCTACGAGAGTCATGTTTCCTGGATCCTTAGCAGTTCCCACACTGATAGTTTTCGGTGTATCTCTCATCAGATTAGGAGCTGAACATTTGGGCTGAGCAACTGCTTTTACTGCCATGTCGACTTGGCCAGAGTGCAATGGTAAATGCTAGCTCTGATGAGGGTGGAGCTGTGCTGTGGCTCAGCCAAGGCAAGGACTTTGCTGCCTTGGAGTGTGGTTTGATAGCGGTTTGAAAGGAAAAGCAAGTGGGAAATGATTCAAGATACACCATCATATGATAAATCCAGGAGGAGTGTTACATTCTTTGAACACAGCGAAGGAGAAGTGGTTGGTGACTTTCCTTTATGGTGGCCACAGCTTGTGGAAAATCGTTCAGGAAAGGTTTCCCTTGCCCAGCTTCCCTTGGATGGGGTAAATCAGGGGCTCAGAAACGTTGATTTTTTTGAAGGTTTTGGAGTACAGCGCTGCCATGTGCTGGGCTCCTCCGGGCCTGGCACCCACCCAGCCTGGGGAGGGTCCTGCTCCTCCAGTGGAGAGCGCAGGGTTCGGGTCGCGTTCCTGCCGAGGCACCGCCAGCCTCGGCCGTGCGTGGGCCCGCAGGCGAGCGGGACGGCAGGGCCGGCATCACCGCGGGGACGGAGCCCCGCAGGCGGGCGGCGGCTCTGGGCGCTGCATTTCCCAGCATTTCCCAGGGCGCTCCCCCCCAGCCCGGGAAGGGGAGCGCGGCCGTTCCCGGCCGGCCGAGCCGCCCCCGCCCCGCGGCTCCCGCAGCGGCCGGCAGGGGGCGCGGCGCGGGGCGGGCGCGGCGGGGGCGCGCGG